CAAGAGGGGAGTTCCCCAACCTGTAGGTATGGTGCCGGTTGTTCCTCCCCAGGTGCATCACCTTGCACTTGTCCATGTTGAAACCCATCCTATTCTTGTCCGCCCACCCTTGTAACCTGTCCAGGTCCGACTGTAGCCTGCTTCTTCCTTCTAGTGTGCCCACGTCCCCCCACATCTTAGTGTCATCAGCAAATTTGAACAGGGTGCTTTTCACCCCCTCGTAGATATATCTGTCTACCTTTCCAGACCAACTTAAAAACCCCACAAAGAACAACAAAGCTGTCTCTGCTGTGCCCCTAGCACTATAACAATTGTATTTAGACGATGAAAAATGCAGCTATTTTATCCCTATTCTTTCTTTTCTATCCATGTTCTCTCTCTCTTTTTGCTGTCTCAGTTGTGAATCAGGACATTCATACAAAAGACAGACTATAAAAGAGGTTGCCTGAAGAACCACTTCACTCACTTCACTGCAGCTCACAAGGTCATATTTTGCTGAGTACATGAAATGAGAGTGGTTAAAGATATGAAATTAATAGCTTCACAGAAATTACGCTTCACTGAAGGATTAAAGATAAAAGTGCTCCCACGGCTGAAAATCACTACTCTCAGTTACTCTCAAAGAAAGTGGCTGCAAATGGTGTTCAATAACAGAGAAAGGTGATGATGGCTGACAAAGAGTTGAGGCCCTCATTAACACCAGCTTTGGACCAGGGATAGTGACTGATAGGATGCGTTCAGATATGCATATAGACATTTGGTTCCCCGGGGATATCCGGGGGTCAAAAAAACCCATGGAAAAAAAACCCGGTGCAACGCACGCTTGAGCAGCACATCCTTGCTGCGTGGAAAACACTGGGCTGTGCAGTATGTGGTGCTCCAAATGCGTTTGCAGTGCCACACACTGCATGCCGTGGTCTGGACACACCCACAGAGTCCTACAGTGTTTCGAGCCAGATTAAAGCACATGTTAGATCTTCACTGGGTGTGTTTCAACAACAATACTTAACCTGAGTGAACCATATCAATATAAAGTCGTAGTCAGTCTTATCTCCCACCATTCACCTACCTATATCATGGGGACATTACAGAACTTTATCTCTGATAAGATTTTACAGTGTGATAGCTAAATACACTATTGATTTGACAGCAGATATAGCCACGGCTGGTAACAGTTGACAACAGTGGGATAAGTGGGAAACAATGGGCATGTCTACACATGCATTTGATTCGGAATCAGTTTACTGGTCAGTAAACTACTAGTGAGTAAACACCCCCCGGCAGGCTTCTGCACACTCAGGGAAGCATAGGAAATGAGCCCCTGCTGCCACCAGGGGGAGCTCTAGGCTCCTGCTGGGTGTGAGCCCAGGGGCTGGCAGGGCTCATGGGGCCAGGAGACAGCTGTCTCTTGGCTGGGGCTGAGGGTGGGACACTACACCCTACCCCTGGGGGATGCTTGCTGCTGAGGCAGAGTCAATGCCCCCCTTCCTTGGCAGGAGGGAGCTCCTGGCCCTGGCTCCCTGATCAGGGGTAGGGGACTTGGAAAGAGCTGCATGGGAGGGGCAAGTCCCAACCCCCGTCTCAATGCACTGGAGGGGCAGCTAGCTGACTGTTAGCTGCCCCACCAGCTGGTCAGGTCAGGGGGTTGGGACATACCTCACCCCTGCAGCTCTTTCCAAGCCCTGTACATCAATCACCTGATCCGGGCATGGGGCTGGGACCTACCCCTGACTGGGACAGTTTCCAGCCTCCACCCTGCACGCAGGGATCTCCCAGCACTGGTCCTGTGACTGCCGAGCTGGCACTGGGAGATAAGGGTCTCCCAGCGCCAGCCCCGTGGTCACAGAGTTGGCACTAAGAGATAAGGCTCTCAAAGCCCCTGCTCCCTGATGGTGATCTCAGAGCATGGGGCTTGGAGTTCCCTGCTACCAGGGCACAGGGGCGCAGTCCACCCCAGCAGCAGGCAGCTCCCTGGGGCAGAGAGCAATCTCCTGCCCCCTGGTGGACAGCTGACTGGGAGCAGAATTGTTCCCAGTCAGGTGTCTACACGAGGACTGCTGCGCTGTTACTAACCAAAAGCAGATTTGCTACTTGCATTTGCAGATACCAAATTATTTGTGATTTGCGAGTTTTACTACATAGTAAGCATGTGCACATGTAGATGTGCATTCTTACTGTGCAGTAAACTACACTACTGCACAGTTAAATGTCTTGTGTAAATGTGCCCAGTATGTAGAACATCGTTGTTGCTGCTCTGTCATTTATGCTGTGCAATAAATTGGCAGAACATGTGGCATGTTGTAATTTATGGCATGATTGACACAATCATGACATAAATGTAATCTCCGCTGGGGGTGGAGTCCAGGTTCCCCTTACTTCCTTGCTCACCTTCTGGCCTCCAGAGTTGTTTTCCTTTTGGCACAGTGGCCCATATTCACAGCGGCCCATGGTTGAGTGCACTAGGCCCAGAAT